TGAACCTCTAGACCCCTGAAGCAGGAGGAACATCTCTGACCTGCAGCTCCTGGTTGTACTGCTCCATCTGGGCCAGCTTGTCCGTCGTCTCCTGCTCCAGGAGGTCCAGCTGGTCCTTCAGACGGCGACACGAGAAGCTCTTCTCGGTCACGTTGCTGCTCAGGGAGCTCAGGGTGGAGGCTGGAAGCAGAGGTCAGAGGTCAGATACAGACACAGGAGGATCCAGAGCTCATCGTGGGTCTGGAGGTTCTCCACCTACCGGAGACCTTGTTGGTCCCGATGCTCCTCAGCTTCTCCGTCAGCTTCTGCTGCTCCGGGACCAGCTGGGAGAGCTTCCTCTGCCAGTCCTGGGGCGAGCAGACAATAAGATAATCCACAGGAAGCTAAATGAGTCCAGACGAGCTTCAGGTAGTGTTTAACATTAGCTTCATTATCTATGGAGACATTCTGAGTAATCTGAGCCAGTTTTAAGTCTCTTTAGAAGAAGCAAGTCATGTTGAACAAATATTAAATCACTCTGCACAAGAACTTTCATTTCATTTCAAACCTGAGTAAATGTTTTTGAAACGTTCTGTGCAGAACAAACACAACCGGAGCAGTAATCTGTAATCAGAGAGTTTCTATCGTGTGAACCTCGAACTGCAGCTGCAGGCTGTTGATCTCGGCGATGCGAGCGTCCCTCTTCTGGTTGACCAGCTCCACCTCGGCCTTGTGGATCCTCCTCTTGCTCTGGGCGTCACGGAGACGGTCGGAGATCTGCTTGTGCCTGTTGCCCTGGAGACGAAGCAGATGAGGTCACTGTTGGTCACTGAGCTGTGGACCTGTGGGTGAAGATGCTCCACGGCTCCACGGTCTCACCACGGCCTCCAGCTCCAGCTCCAGACTCTTCTTCTTGGCCCTGAGGCGGCTGATCTCCTCCTGCTCGCCCTCCCTCCTCCGGCCCAGCTCCTCCCTCCTCCTCAGCTCCCACTCCTCCCTCCGCTGGCGCTCCAGCTCCTGCTTGGCCGCCTGGAAACACCGAGACTCCATCGGACACAGCAGTCTTTGGACGAACTTCATGTTATTCTGGACAATCTACACCCTTCTAGACAAACTGGGAGTCACTGTGGACAAGTTAGAAGTCAACACAGGACTTTTTCTGTGATGTTGGATTTAGTTTATGTCAGAAAATG